CTTGGCTGTTATCGTTAATAATACCTTGGCTGTTATCGTTAATAATATCTTCGCTGTTATCGGTAATAATATCATCGCTGTTATCGTTAATAATATCTTCGCTGTTATCGTTAATAAACTCGCCTCCAGAATCTCACCAAGTCCCTTCCTCTATATTATAAATATACTTCATTAAGAACTACAGTTTCTTGAAGGTTTGTCTCTCTAAATCGTACTTTACCGAGGCACTGATGTGATCTATTATTTTAACTTGTTTAATTGGACGAGACATGGGTAACGGGGGTTAGTAGCGAGGCGGGGACAGTGTCGTGTGGTGACGTCAGACAGTGACGTCACAGCGCTGCTATGACGTCACGGCTTGATGGGATGGCTTAAGTGATGGTACACCCCCTCCCCCCCTCTACCTCCTCCCCTCACTGATGTTCCACTCTCAGGAGCACTAAGCCTGTTAGGCTCAGTGATGGCCACATAGTCTTGGACGAGTCTCTCTCTCTCTCTCTCTCTCTCTCTCTCTCTCTCTCTCTCTCTCTCTCTCTCTCTCTCTCTCTCTCTCTCTCTCTCTCTCTCTCTCTCTCTCTCTCACACGTACAGGTAGGTGACTTCAGACTTCCTCAGCAGGGTGACAACTTTCCCTTCACCTTCCCTGGAACACAACCCGCCGGCAGGTTGAGAACCATGCAGGTGGTCCCCCAATCACTGCCAGGGGAACAGGGGCCGACACCATTTGATAGTTACCTGGTTATACCTGGTTGATGGGGTTCTGGGAGTTCTTCTACTCCCCAAGCCCGGCCCGAGGCCAGGCTTGACTTGTGAGAGTTTGGTCCACCAGGCTGTTGCTTGGAGCGGCCCGCTTCTCAAACAACCTTTGTTAAATAATTGAGCAGGCAGATTTACCTGAGGGGCTCTAGTGACCTCCACGGGGGACAGGAAGCTGGCAGCTTGTCAAGGGTTTCCCCTCAATTTGAAGTTTGTTTGCCTCACCCTCCGTCATCTGTCACCCTCCATCACCTGTCACTCCCGTCAAGAATACCTCACCAGGTATACCTCACTCTGGTATACCACTTTGAGGGAGGTGAGAGAAGGGGAAGGGAGGGAGGGAGGGGAATGGACGGGGATTTGCACACGGACCACCAGAGGGGTGGTGGGGGGGGGGAGGCTCACACTCAGCCACTATGGGCTTCACTCTTGTATATTTTCCCCATTTGGGTTACCCTGGCAACTGCTTGGTGAGGTGCTCTCCTCACCTCTCCTTCCTTTCCTCCCTCCTTCCCTCTCTCCCTTTATACCTCCGACCCTTCCCCCTCTCCTTCCTTTCCCTCCCTCTCACTTTTCCTCGCACCCCTTCTGTTCATTTATTTTCTTAACGAACATGTAAGGTCAGTAAGACCCAACTCCTGCTCTCATTACGATAATTATTTTCCCACGCTCCCAGCCAGGTTCCCACGCTCCCAGCCAGGTTCCCACGCTCCCAGCCAGGTTCCCACGCTTCTCAGCCAGGTTCCCACGCTCCCAGCCAGGTTCCCACGCTTCTCAGCCAGGTTCCCACGCTCCCAGCCAGGTTCCCACGCTTCTCAGCCAGGTTCCCACGCTCCCAGCCAGGTTCCCACGCTTCTCAGCCAGGTTCCCACGCTTCTCAGCCAGGTTCCCACGCTTCTCAGCCAGGTTCCCACGCTCCCAGCCAGGTTCCCACGCTTCTCAGCCAGGTTCCCACGCTTCTCAGCCAGGTTCCCACGCTCCCAGCCAGGTTCCCACGCTCCCAGCCAGGTTCCCACGCTTCTCAGCCAGGTTCCCACGCTCCCAGCCAGGTTCCCACGCTCCCAGCCAGGTTCCCACGCTTCTCAGCCAGGTTCCCACGCTTCTCAGCCAGGTTCCCACGCTTCTCAGCCAGGTTCCCACGCTTCTCAGCCAGGTTCCCACGCTTCTCAGCCAGGTTCCCACGCTTCTCAGCCAGGTTCCCACGCTTCTCAGCCAGGTTCCCACGCTTCTCAGCCAGGTTCCCACGCTCCCAGCCAGGTTCCCACGCTCTCAGCCAGGTTCCCACGCTTCTCAGCCAGGTTCCCACGCCCCCAACCAGATTTTCACGCTTCCGAGCCAGGTTACCGCGCCCCCAGCCAAATTTCCACGCCCACAGTCAGGTTCCCACACCCTTCAGCCAGGTTCTCACGCCCCCAGCCAAATTCCCACGCCCACAGTCAGGTTCCCACACCCCTGAGTCAGGTTCCCACGCTCCCCAGCCACGTTCCCACGCCCCCATGCAGGGTTCCCACGCCCACAGTCAGGTTCCCACGACCCTCCAGCAAAGTTCCCACGCCTCTTAGCCAAGTTCTCATCCGCCCAGCCAGGTTCCCACGCCCTCCAGCCAGGTTCCCACGCCCTCCAGCCAGGTTCCCACACCCCCAGCCGGGATCCCACGCCCTCCAGCCACGTTCCTACGCCCGCAAACCAGGTTCCCACGCTCACCAGCCAGATTCCCACGACCTTAGCCAGGTTCCCACGCTCCCAGCCAGTTTCCCACGCCCCCAGCCAGTTTCCCACGCCCCCAGCCAGTTTCCCACGCCCCCCATCCAGGTTCCCACGCCCCCAGCCAGGTTCACACGCCCCCCAGCCAGTTTCCCACGCCCCCAACCAATTTACTACGCCCCCCAGCCAGGTTCCTACGCCCCCCAGCCAGGTTCCTACGCCCCCCAGCCAGGTTCCTACGCCCCCAGCTAGATTTCCATGCCCCCTAGCCAGGGGCGAGATTCACGAAACAGTTACGCAAGTATTTACGAACGTGCATATAATTCCTCAAACTTTGACGGCTTTGGTGACATTTATTAAACCATTTACAAGTATGAAAACTTGCCAATCAACTGTTGATATTGTTATAAACAGCCTCCAGGTGCTTCGGAGCTCATTAACTGTTTAAAAGTTGGAAACAAAGCCGCCAAAGATTGAGAAAAGATATACAGGTTCGTAAGAGCTTGCGTAACTGCTTTGTGAATCTGGCCTCAGGTTCGCACTCCCCCAGCCAGGTTCCCACGCCTCCATCCAGGTTCCCACGCCCCCATCCAGGTTCCCACGCCTCCATCCAGGTTCCCACGCATCTGAGCCAGGTTCCCACACCCCCAGCCAGGTTCCCACGCCCCCAGACAGATTCCCACGCCCCCATCCAGGTTCCCACGCCTCCATCCAGGTTCCCACGCCCCCAGACAGATTCCCACGCCCCCAGTCAGGTTCCCACACCCCCCAGCCAGGTTCCCACACCCCCCAGCCAGGTTCCCACGCCCCCAGTCAGGTTCCCACACCCCCCAGCCAGGTTCCCACGCCCCCAGACAGATTCCCACGCCCCCAGTCAGGTTCCCACACCCCCAGACAGATTCCCACGCCCCCAGTCAGGTTCCCACACCCCCCAGCCAGGTTCCCACGCCCCCAGACAGATTCCCACGCCCCCAGTCAGGTTCCCACACCCCCCAGCCAGGTTCCCACGCCCCCAGACAAATTCCCACGCCCCCAGTCAGGTTCCCACACCCCCCAGCCAGGTTCCCACGCCCCCAGACAGATTCCCACGCCCCCAGTCAGGTTCCCACACCCCCAGCCAGGTTCCCACGCCAGCTAGCCAGGTTCCCACGCCAGCTAGCCAGGTTCCCACGCCCCCAGCCAGGTTCCCACGCCAACCTGTCAGGTTCCCACGCCAGTCAGCCAGGTTTCCACGCCAGCCACTCAGGTTCCCACACCCCCAGCCAGGTTCCCACGCCAGCTAGCCAGGTTCCCACGCCCCTAGCCAGGTTCCCACGCCAGCTAGCCAGGTTCCCACGCCCCCAGCCAGGTTCCCACGCCAGCTAGCCAGGTTCCCACGCCCCCAGCCAGGTTTCCACGCCCCCAGCCAGATTCCCACGCCAGCCAGCCAGGTTCCCACGCCAGCCAGCCAGGTTCCCACGCCAGCTAGCCAGGTTCCCACGCCCCCAGCCAGGTTTCCACGCCCCCAGCCAGATTCCCACGCCAGCCAGCCAGGTTCCCACGCCAGCTAGCCAGGTTCCCACGCCAGCCAGCCAGGTTCCCACGCCAGCCAGCCAGGTTCCCACGCCAGCCAGCCAGGTTCCCACGCCAGCTAGCCAGGTTCCCACGCCAGCTAGCCAGGTTCCCACGCCCCCCAGCCAGGTTCCCACGCCAGCCAGTCAGGTTTCCACGCCAACCAGTCAGGTTTCCACGCCAGCCAGCCAGGTTCCCACGCCAGCCAGCCAGGTTCCCACGCCAGCCAGCCAGGTTCCCACGCCAGCCAGCCAGGTTCCCACGCCAGCTAGCCAGGTTCCCACGCCAGCTAGCCAAGTTCCCACGCCCCCAGCCAGGTTCCCACGCCAACCAGCCAGGTTCCCACGCCAGCCAGCCAAGTTCCCACGCCCCCAGCCAGGTTCCCACGCCAACCAGCCAGGTTCCCACGCCAGCCAGCCAGGTTCCCACGCCAGCTAGCCAGGTTCCCATGCCAGCTAGCCAGGTTCCCATGCCAGCTAGCCAGGTTCCCACGCCCCCCAGCCAGGTTCATACGCCCCCCAGCCAGGTTCATACGCCCCCCAGCCAGGTTCCCACGCCCCCCAGCCAGGTTCATACGCCCCCCAGCCAGGTTCATACGCCCCCCAGCCAGGTTCCCACGCCAGCTAGCCAGGTTCCCACGCTAGCCAGCCAGGTTCCCACGCCCCCCAGCCAGGTTCCCACGCCAGCTAGCCAGGTTCCCACGCCAGCCAGCCAGGTTCCAACGCCAGCCAGCCAGGTTCCCACGCCAGCCAGCCAGGTTCCCACGCCAGCCAGCCAGGTTCCCACGCCAGCCAGTCAGGTTCCCACGCCAGCCAGCCAGGCTTCCACGCCAGCCAGCCAGGTTCCCACGCCAGCCAGCCAGGTTCCCACGCCAGCCAGCCAGGTTCCCACGCCAGCCAGTCAGGTTCCCACGCCAGCCAGCCAGGTTCCCACGCCAGCCAGCCAGGCTTCCACGCCAGCCAGCCAGGTTCCCACGCCAGCCAGCCAGGCTCCCACGCCAGCCAGCCAGGTTCCCACGCCAGCCAGCCAGGCTCCAACGCCAGCCAGCCAGGTTCCCACGCCAGCCAGCCAGGTTCCCACGCCAGCCAGCCAGGTTCCCACGCCAGCCAGCCAGGTTCCCACGCCAGCCAGTCAGGTTCCCACGCCAGCTAGTCAGGTTCCCACGCCAGCCAGCCAGGTTCCCACGCCCCCAGCCAGGTTCCCACGCCAGCCAGCCAGGTTCCCAGTCCAGCCAGTCAGGTTCCCACGCCAGCCAGCCAGGCTTCCACGCCAGCCAGCCAGGTTCCCACGCCAGCCAGCCAGGTTCCCAGTCCAGCCAGCCAGGTTCCCACGCCAGCCAGCCAGGTTCCCACGCCAGCCAGCCAGGGTTCCACGCCAGCCAGCCAGGTTCCCACGCCAGCCAGCCTGGCTCCCACGCCAGCCAGCCAGGTTCCCAGTCCAGCCAGCCAGGTTCCCACGCCAGCCAGCCAGGTTCCCACGCCCCCAGCCAGGTTCCCACGCCAGCCAACCAGGTTCCCACGCCAGCCAGCCAGGTTCCCACGCCCCCAGCCAGGTTCCCACGCCAGCCAGCCAGGTTCCCAGTCCAGCCAGCCAGGTTCCCACGCCAGCCAGCCAGGTTCCCACGCCCCCAGCCAGGTTCCCACGCCAGCCAGCCAGGTTCCCAGTCCAGCCAGCCAGGTTCCCACGCCAGCCAGCCAGGTTCCCACGCCCCCAACCAGGTTCCCACGCCAGCTAGCCAGGTTCCCACGCCAGCCAGCCAGGTTCCCACGCCAGCCAGCCAGGTTCCCACGCAAGCCAGCCAGGTTCCCACGCCAGCTAGCCAGGTTCCCACGCCAGCTAGCCAGTTTCCCACGCCAGCCAGCCAGGTTCCCACGCCAGCTAGCCAGGTTCCCACGCCAGCCAGCCAGGTTCCCACGCCAGCTAGCCAGTTTCCCACACCCCCAGCCAGCCAGCTTTCCATGACTCTCTAGGGATGTGTTGAGCGGAGTAGCCTCAGGAGGCAGCTGGCAGAGTGTGAAGTAATAGTTGTCAGGAGGAAGATCTGACAACTGTTGTAGGTCTGAGAACTGTTGTAGGTCTGAGAACTGTTGTAGGTCTGAGAACTGTTGTAGGTCTAAGCCTTGCTAATTCCATTGGAAATAGTGTGTGTGCGAGAGAGAGAGTGTGTGTGAACGTGAGTGTGAAAGAGTGTGAGAATGAGAGAGTGAAAGAGTGAGAGAGAGTGAGAGAGAGTGAGAGTGAAAGAGTGAGAGAGAGTGAGAGTAAAGACAGCCAGTGGTATGAGTCAGTGTGATCAATACACCATCCTGGGCCACACTACACTTGACACACTCATTACTTTGCTCCCTCACACTTACACCCTTATCCCCAAGCTGCCCCACCTGTGTACCTCTCACTCTTTATCTCCTGGCTCTCTCTCTCTCTCTCTCTCTCTCTCTCTCTCTCTCTCTCTCCCTCTCTCTCTCTCTCTCTCTCTCTCTAAATATTATATATATATATTGTGACGGTAACGCGTTGGTGTTCGGCTGTTTAAGGCTAGGGGTATGGCCTCGTCACATAGTTATAAAAAAAAATAGAAAAACTGGAACTTCGTCTGTGGTAAGGTAAGGAGAAGACACACCAAACACAAGTAAACTTTAACAATGAAATTTTAATTACGTTAAATAAATCAAAACATGAAAATAATGCACAAACAAATTCTTATAATAAAATCAATGAATCAAAATAATAAGAATACTTAAATGACAAAATGAAAAGTTACGTTAAGGCAAAATAACAAGAAGTGCAATACAACAGTAAGTGGGAGGTGCTGGAATATTGGCTTAAAGCCACCACCTCTCTCAGTACACTCTAGAGTCTAGCTGGGAGGTGTGCTGGCTACGAAAGCACGGAACATTCTGAAGACTGATGTTGGGGCGACCCCAGACATCGGGTAGTATGGGGGGGGGCGAGGCAGGTGCAGCCAGACCGGCGACCAATCAGCGGAGTCGTAGCGATCAATGGGTAGTTTGGTGGTTGGAGTTCGAACAGGTGGCTGGTTGCATACGTTTCTGCTCACCCTGGCAAGCCTTGCTGGTGTTTGTTGTCGTTGTTGGACATTTCTTCCATAGTCTTTTATATAGTTGTGAAGACGTAATTTTGGAGGGAAGAGCAGGCTCAATCTCTTGAAGGAGATTATCGTCACAACTCTCCCCCGAAGCCTGCGGTTCTGGAAGAAGTACGTCGTTATGTGGTGGAGTAATGGATGGAGTCGCTTCTACTTCATAAACTCTGGAGAGGGCATCGGCTATGATGTTGTCAGACTCTTGGTATAGCGTGTCTCCAGGTTGAATTTCTGCAGTTAGCAAGCCCATAGTAGAAGACGTTGAGATGAGAAGTGGGCGTGCTGCAGGAGGTGTAGGGTGGTGTGGTCCGTATTGATGGTGGACCGAGCACTTTTCAGGTGTGGAGTGAAGTGCTGAAGCTTCAGGATGAGGAAGAGTAGCTCCTTGCCAATTGTTCCGTCGTTCCTTGTAGCAGTAGTCGCTGACAGGTGAATTCTTCTCGCCTCGTTGCTGCATCACGACACCACCATTGTCGGTACCATTGGCGTCGACATGGAGGATGTAGGGCTTATCTGACGAGGTGAGAGTGGAATTAGAAGAGGGCATAGGAGCACGAGTATTATCCTGAAAGCATTTGGGAAGATCATTAAGGATTTTGGAATTAGAAAGCGCCGACTCCTTGTCAGTGCTTTCGGGAGAAGAAGCCGGGATGGTCTCACTGTGGATGTAGGGTTCTGTGAAGGTAGAACAATTAATCAAGACAGTGGGAGGAGTACCATTATATTGCTTCAGGAGGTTGACGTGGCACAGCTGGGTCTTCCGCCGCCTATCTGGAGTCTCTATGACGTATGTGTTGTTGTTTCTGCACTCTTTGACGCAGTAGGGTCCTGAAAATCTGTTTTGTAAAGGTGAACCTGGGATAGGGAAATAAGCAAGGACGAAGTCTCCCGGCTTGAATTTTCTTACTTTGCTGGTCTGGTCGTAATGAGTCTTCATTCTCACCTGGGCTTTCAATAGATTATCATGGGCAAAGCGGTGGACTCTCTCTAGAATGTGCTGAAGGTTTTGAAGAAACTGGGGCACATTCTGATGCTCACTGAAGGTGGCATCTCTGAGAGAGTCTTTGAAAGCCTTAAGGGGAGTACGGCACTTACGGCCGTAGAGCATCTCATAAGGAGATACTCCTAGGGACTCATTGGGGAGACTTCTGAAAATACACATTATTAGGTCAATCTGCTTATCCCAATCCTTTGAGGTTTCACTACAAAACTTTTTCAAGAGTGCTTTGATGGTCTGATGACTACGTTCAAGAGAACCCTGTGAAGCAGGATGATAGGGGCTGGACAATACCTGTTTGATGTTGAACTCCTCCAGTGTCCTTTTGAAGAGATCACTGGTGAAGTTGGTGCCACAGTCACTTTGAATCTCCCTGGGAAATCCGTATTGAGTGAAGATCTTCAATAGATGTTTGATAACCGTAGCAGCCGTGATGTTCTTCACTGGAACTGCTATGGGAAATCTGGTGGTAGGACACAGGATGGTTAGGATGTAGGCGTTACCTGAACTGGTCCGAGGTAAAGGACCAACACAGTCTATTATGAGTCTGTGGAAAGGTTCCGCAGGCACCTGTATGGGAATCAGTGGTGCTCTGGGAATGGAGACGTTCGGTTTGCCTGCCATCTGACATG